GGGTGCGCCCGCCAAAATCGGCTTGACTTGAATGCCAATGATGGCACGGCCTTCGGGCCACCCTATCCCACCCTCCCCCCTACCTCCCTGCCCCTGGGCCCCCGTTGCTACCGCACCTGCTATTTAGGGTAACAGGAAATCGCACTCAACACACTTGTGTGTTGGTGCCTTTCCTTCTGTTTCTCCTGTCCTACTTCTAGCTACCCGGGCGGTTTAAGACAAAAGTCCCGCTGGCTAACTACTTTCGTTTAACTAAGCGGGCCTCGTCACTACCACCTATTTTTCTTTCTTGCCCTTTTCGTTTGCTCTTGCTTTGTTTCTTTTTCTGTCTTTCTAAGGCTTTTTAGGTGGCTAGTAAACCTCCGGCGCGCCAATATTGGCGCTATGTGTGCAAAGTTGTTGCACTAAAAATCGTTTCATGTAAGGGATACAGAGCGCCGATAGCGGCACAGTGTGTGTGTGTGTGTTAACACCTGTCTCTAAGGTTTGTACCTGGTAAGTCTGCCGTAGGTTCCACTAGAAGGCTGGGTGCTACTAGTAGCTTCTGGCCTTACTACTAGGAACCAAACTGAAACAAACACAGCGCGAGTCAAAAACGAGGCAGGGGGTCCAGGCAGTTGTGAGTTGTCCCTGGACCAACGAAGAAGGACTCACAACTGGTGAAGCGAGAAGGGACGCCTTCTCGTGTACCTGCAGGCCAATGTTTAATCCATTGTCTCACCCGTGTTAAAACTTCTGGAACTCTGACCCAGCACTCTTTCAGTTCCTGCACAAACCTTGTTAAACATCTACAAGTCCATCGACTCAGCCACCTTTCGGTTGCTGCTTCTTTCCGTTCACCAAGTCAAGGGGGACTTCACTCTGATCCTAGCTCTTGCGAGCAACCATCCAAGTGTGTGTGTGTGTGAGAGTGAGTGAGTGAGTGAGTGAGTGAGTGAGTGAGTGAGTGAGTGAGTGGGTGGTGAGTGAGTGAGTGAGTGAGTGAGTGGGCTCTAGCAGGACAAGGGGCTGGTGCTTTGACCTTATCAAGCGTTTGCCACGCAAGGATGTCCAAGGCTTTGTGCCAGGCTGTTTGCCCGTCTCACTTTCCCATGATAAATCATCATGGTTTTCATGCGGTGCTCTGAATAAGAGCCGCACGGCTCGCGTCTCCCCCCCAAGTGGTGGGAGGGTCTGAACGCGGCGTCAATGTTTGGCGGTGGGCATCCGCAGCACACGAGGGACCGTGCGCCCCACCAGACCCATGGATCTGGCATGGTGCGCCCCACCAGACGAATGAACAACCGTTTCCGACAGCGCTGCATACAAATAGTAACAAAGGGCATTGCTACTAGGAGCGATCGGACGCTATAAGCTATAACACTGTGCCAGTCTTTCATCGTCGACGGTCTTTTTGGTTGAAACCAATTCAACAGGCATGGGCAGGTTCTGTGGGGCAGGCGACAGTTGCAGCATTCTGGTTTCGAGGGGAAGTTCTCTGTACTGTACTGGACAACTTGTGACTGTTCGCTGTGACATGCTATATCGAATTAGGACTCGAATTTGGCACATAACAACACTCACCACCATTTTCTCAAGATGCTAATATGTTGACAGTGCATTTATATACTGTACATAACGTGAGATGCTTACAGCTACTTTGGGTTGTCCACACTTTCAGCTTCACGCTGCCCAAGAGATTCTATATCTTCCTTTTCCATTTGTGGCGGACGGGGAGGGGGGGGCATAAGCTATATAACACAACGGGTTTCTTGCCTCGCTCTTTGTTGTTTGGCTATCCTCCATTGGTCGAAGAGTACCCTAGCTGGGACGCCCTACTGCTACAGGCAAGACGATGCAAGCATCCTTTTGCCTGACACGGAATACGTAGAAGAGAAAAGATTGTGAGTGCATTTGGTTTCCAGAAGCCATGGAAATCCAGGAGATTCCCTCCACGCGCTGAAACCACAACAGGAGTTTGTAGGGGGAGCGGGTCCTCAGAACGCCTTTCTTCCAAATCTTTCAATGTCAAACATAGACAAACACAGACCGGCAGCATCAGGCCACCGATTCGAACACGGCCACCTTCTGTGAATTTCAGGTTAGAGACATTTGGGGGGCCACCACCCTGGCAGTTCATTTCCGCTAAGCCACGGGTGGTCTGCCAAGTCACTCTAGTGATTCTTCACAGGTGTGCTGGCAGCGGTGTGGCCTTCCCAACCTTGATACACTCCCTGAAATCGTCATGGTGAAATAAAGAGATCCTGACATGGACACCCCGAAGACTCAGGTGATACTTTCCGGACCGAGTCGACCCAAGCAGCTCCGTGCCGTCTGTGTGTTCCGACCGTGGTTCCGACCGTGGTCCGACCTTGAGTGACCTAACAAGAGTTCCCGAGAATCATCGGACGGGACAGCTGGACGGTGTCCGGCCTGGAAGAACCCGAGGCGATGCGGCCATCATAGATCTAATGCCACAGACGTTTGCTGCCTGCGCGCAAGCGCGCAGGAGTTACGATGAAGATCAAGTGCCAGGGAAGGAGATATCTCTTTTGAGTGGAATTTGATCTATATCTCAATCCAATAAGCGCCTGAAGGCGACCACTTTGGCTCAAGAAACATTCAACCCTCCGAACGATCGATGAAAGTCTTGCACTACTTGAGTTTGGTCTACGAGGCTACTCAGCGTTTGCCTGTTGCATCTAGACTGGTAGACCTGGGCTCATCAGCCTTATCTGGCTTGACGCGCTGCTTCAGCGGAGGCTGGGTGGCCGGAGCGGTCGAGAAGTGCTCCAGGCCCAGCAAAAGGCTCATCCTCTACGAGTCCCTCGACCTCAGCGACGTTAAAAGAATGGCCCACATGGGGGCATGGGCACATAGGACTTCACTGACAAGGTGGGTTTCATATTGGTTTCATGATCTACAAGATCATACAAGAATCATACCAGAATCCAATGGCGTTGCATGTCTTGTCTATCTATAGATTCTATAGTTTCTTCTTTTTGTCCCCTGCTTCGTTGATATGTGTGTTTGCCGATCTCCGTTTGATTGATGCCCTGTTTGCGAGCCCGGTGATGCTCCACACAACCCGAGTTGTTGGAGCACCAAGCCTGGCTCCAAAGTCTCCTTGGCGGTGGGAAACGCAACAAACAGCGTCAAAGAAATGAGTTTGGATCATTGCAGATCCAAAAACGAAACGGAAGGGCTCATCAAGGAGCCCCCCAACATCTTATAGAATGTTCAGATATGTTCAGATGAGGTTCAAGAAAGCCCATGACATTCGAGGTTTGAAGGCTGCCCCTTCTGTCGCCGTGTGCGTGAAACTGCCTCGGTCTTGGCGTTGGACCTGGTGGTGTATCCCTGTCCCAAGGGGACACTGAAAGCCGCTGGGGGCCCCCAGACATCGCGCTTCAGTGACTTGACGTCGGTGGCGGACCTGCATAGGAGATATGGTGGGGGGGGGTATGTGCAGAATCGAAGGAGAAGGAAGAAAAGGAAGAAGCAGTTACCATCAAAGTCTTGATATGATTTGATATATGTATTGAGTATATATTTATATATACATAAAATATATATATATATAGTATTATTGATGTGTTGTGATCAGTGCCACATGGGACCCGGATGATCCCGGATGAATGAAACTTCGGCCTGAAGCTTGACCAAGGACCTGAAGTTGCCAAGCTTGGAGGGAAGGAGCTCTTCCCGTTCCTCGTGGATGAAAACACCGGAGTACAGATGTACGAGTCGGCCGAGATCAATAAGTATTTATGGAAGACTTATGGTGCCCAAGCTGAGGTGCCTTGGACATACTGGCTTGGCGAGCCCTTCGGCTGCTGTTCCAGCACAATTTTACCATCAGCACTGGTGCAACAACATGCGTTCAAAAACTAGCAAGACACTTTTCATCTTCTAATCCAAAACTGTTATTCCTCTTGTCAGTGGGCATTTCATTCCATCGGCTCCATTTTCACTGGGTTCTGCCCTCCCCCAAGAATCTCGCGACCTAGCTCAACCAAGACCAAGAATCTCGCGCTCGCTCGCCAGACTCAGGAAGCTCTTTGTGAAGCCCCTGATCTTCTTCCCGACACTGCTCCGGCCCCTGGTGACACACGGACTGCTGCGAGTGCCGAGCGTGGCGCCCGAGTCGCCCTTGGAGCTTTGGGGATGCGAGTCGTCACCCTTCGTCCGGTTGGTGCGAGAAGCGCTGTGCTGCCTCGAGTTGCCATACGCCGCCCGTGGGCAATCAGATTCGATTTTTCTGGGGGTTCTTATTGGTTCGAAGGATGATAGGTAGTCAACAGACTACAGGGATACTACGGGGATCATTTACTGTTCAGCCTTCAATTCACGGAGCTCCATTGGTTTCAGCCGCATTGCAATCCGACGACCCCCTCGTCCATGTGTCCAAGCCTCTTAAGGTACTACGTCAGGTTCCACACGGAGAGTTGCAGAACCGAGCAGAATTCCGGGAGAAGTACGGACATCTCTTGTCCCCAGCCCGCCGCGCACTGGGAGCCGTACAAATGCCGTTCCTAAGGGATCCCAATACTGGCACCGAACTTTTGGAGAGTGCTGACATCGTGAAGTATCTTTACAAGACCTACCGAGACGGACCCATGCTTGAGGAAACATGGCTGGACTTCAACTCTGCAGCCAAGACTGATTGACTCCATGATGAAGTCATTGCCCTCCATGGAAGCATGACACCTGGCATCACTTGGCACATCCCACTCGAAGTTCGCTGCGCCGCGAGGCAGTTGGCCCAGCAGAGCCCTGCACAGTGGCCCTGCAGAGTTGGAAAAGGTGGCAGAGGGTTGTTGTGATGATAGGATTGAGCCTGCCAGAGTGGCTCAGAGTGGTGGATTTCTTCTTTTTGTATATGTTATTACTTTACTGATCATTAATCCTCTTCATCTCGGACCTGAGATTGGTGGGTCATGCTGAACTTTGGCTTTGACCCTCTCCCTCGATTCTTCATCTACAATGCAAGGTCCATTCGGTTGGTTTGTGCCGCTCAGGAAGCAGGCTATGGCGGCAACCTCATTGGCAGATCTGACCCTTGTCTCCATGCAAGCAACAACCATGTGTTCGATTTACTCTTAGACTATCTTCAAGATTCTTCAATTTGTTGATGGACCACAATGGACCATTTCCTCGAAAGTGTGAGCAGAGTTGGTAGAAGTTGCTTTGATGTAATTTGACTGAAGAGCGTAGCTGAGGAGTTGGATGGCGGGCATTCCGTGAGAGCCCATTTGGACGGAAACCGGTTGACCTTCAAGCAGTTGGCCAAGGGTGGCATGGCAAATCTGGCATAGTTGCCAGGTGATGCGAAAGTTTGTAAGTAGGCAAGCACGGAATTACTGTAAGCGTATGTTTGTGTACGTGTTTGTATCTTCGGTGTCTTGCCACGCTGTCTTTGCTGTGCACACACACACCAAGCCACGCTTTGCGCCACGCTTTCTGCGCCAGGTATATGATTGCCACTGCGATGTGTCGACCGTCGGGCGCACAGAGCTGAAGCCAGCGGTTGTTTTGTTTTGTTTTTGTTTTTTTTTTTTTTCTCTGCCGAGGTTGTTATATATATATACACTTATATATACCCTCTTTACATACGCCACCTGAATGTATCAAGTAAGGGGGATATATATATATATCTATCTAGATAGATCACATCAGAAGCAGTTTGTTGGCTTGTTTAGGTTTCTTTTTTGTCTCTTCGGGGGACTTGGACAGTATGTTGCAGTTCCTGTTCTTCGTTGTGTCTTGCGGCTTTGCCAACAGAACTTGGTGTTGCGGTTAGGCGAAGGAGCTGTTGCCAACATCCTGCCATACGAGTGGACCTCTAAAAGCTATACCATTCATAGTAGGCGGACGAACGTCCGCAAAGGGAGGAGCAGAGTTTCTGCAATAGTCTTCCCCTGTACCCAAGTGGTTTGAGCCCAGATGACCTATGCCTTCTGGCATCCACGCGCTCAACTGCCCTCCGCCAAGGACCGTCGGCAGTTGATGAACGGATGCTGGGAAACTAAGTGTGGCCCTCAGCAGCGATCCTGAAACCACAAGTCCGTGGGGTGACAGGCAATTCCAACTTTGAGCTTCTTTCACCCCCCAAAGCACCTCAGGGACCTCGCGCAAGCTGCGATCTCCCAGAAATGATTTGAAGCGGCCGGAGCCAGAAAACCGGACCACTGTGCAGATTGCTCGCAGGGGTGGAAACCAGGTTTCTCAGATGATGCTGGTGGGAACCTATCCGAAACCTTCTCAGACCTATATAAAGTTCTATATCTGAGGTCGGATCCAAGACCTATATAAGTTCTGGTGACCTATATTCTAGACTCTAGACCTATCCAAGACCGATTTGAGAGCATGACTGAGGTCCGAGAAGGTCTCCACCGAGAGCATCCTGGAGGATGTGACCTCCATCCGTGGCACCTTCACCGCGCAGCGTCGAGGCCGAGCGAACCAAGCGCGAAGCTGCGATGGTCATGGTATCAATGGATCATCATATTCATAACAACAACAACATCATCAAAAAAGGAACTCGGAACTTATAACTTATAAACATTTATAAACTATAATATCAGTTGTGTTTGTCATCATTCTGGGATTTGTGGCAGACCTCGGCAGGCAGTGATTGTTTGTCATATTGGGAAATCTCCTGAGATCGTCTCCAGATCTCAGTGGACTCCCTCTGAGCCTTTGACCATGGAACTCAAATCGGGCGTCACGCGACCCCAACAACCGTTTGAGTGGACACGGTTTTGGCTGAGGCCGTGTGCCTTTCGTGGACAATCAGTACATTGAGTGGGACGAGATGACGCGCTTGGTTTTGGAGATGGTGCGCGGTTGGTTTTGGGCAGGAACGTTTAGATGGGCATGAGTTTGGAAGCTTCGTCTTCACCAGGATTTCGGCGCATGAGACGAATGAGTCAAGTCTGGCTGTGCTACCGTCGACGTGTGTTTCTTTGGTGCGGCGCAGTGATTTTCGGTGAAGCCTCGGACTGTCACGGGGAGACGAGGGAGCCTTGTCCTCCTTAGACTCCTTCGTCAGTTTGTCTCTGCAGGGAAAGCTACAAGAAACACAAGGGATCAATGCAAAGGCGTGGCGGCTGGAATGAATGGTGTGGAGAGAGGTGTGGTCAGTGGTCATTTATCAGATATGATCGCTGAGTGGTTAGTCAGGGAGACCAACCTTAGCAACTATCCCTGTTTGGAGTTTGCTGGCTACTTCAAGTGTGTGTGTGTGTGGAATGCTTGCCAAAAGGATCAGATGAAAGAAGGTTCAAAGCGCACGGTCGGATTTTCCAAGTGGACATGCTCCAGCGCAGGACTTCCAGGGAATCCAAGCCGCATTGACAGAGCTGCTGCACACGAAGGTGGGGCTTGACTCGGCTTGTGCACGTAACCTCTTCCAGCTGTGTTTCCGGTTTCCGAGCCCGTCGATGTCCGCCAGGATCAAGATGCGAAGGCCAAATACCAGACAGACATAGCGATGCAGATAGCTATCCCCTTTGTGCTGGCAGATCCCTATGCCAAGGCCTCAGTGCAGGTCAGGTCTGACCCCGTCAAGACCCCGTGAGGACCGGACGGTGGCAGCTGCAGACGTAGCAGATCGTGATCGGACGAACCGGACCTGGAAAGCCACATGTGGCAACAGAGGCTTGTGCCACATGATGGAGATATCACTATGGTCCTGGGGTCTGTCCCAGGGACCTGTAACAGTCGGGTTTCACAAGCAAATCACCCATTGGAAAGAGATGTCGGCCTGCAAACCAACCATCATCATCCACTGGGCCCTGGTAATGGGATATACTCAAACTATAACTATTATATGGGTCATTCATGGTCATTCCGAGTCATTCCTTATTAATTATGGATCATTCCTTCTATTTCCACCAGAGGTTGAAGAACCCTATAGACTATCCCAATAGGTACCCCAGTAAGGTCCTATAAGGTCACTTAACCTCTCTTGGTTTGATCTGATCGGCCCAAGGTGATGCACTTTTTGGCCGACTGCTTGCTGAAGCTCGCGCAGAGCTCATCCCCCGAACATGGGGAGAGCTTAAACACTGAGGCGAGAACCTGCACGGAGGGGAGCCTTTTCTGGGCCGACTGCTTGCTGCCTGCGCCAAGTCAGGTGACCAACGATCAAGAGTATAGGAAAAGCAGGGAAACTGATTCTGTTTGTTTGTTTGCCTATCTGTCTGTCTGTTTGTTTGTCTGTCCGTCTGTTTGTTTGTTTGTCTGTCTCTCTCTCTATCTATCTATCTATCTATCTATCGATCTATCTATCTATCTATCTATCTGGCTGCTTGATGATACCATTGTAAGAAGACAATCCTCCACCGAAAAGCACTCTAATTACCTGCATGTTTGCGTTCATATGGCCCAGGCTCGATTCGTGTTTTGGCTCCTACATGCCAGCGCTCAGCCAGGATGGAGAGAGCAGAGTCATTTGGGTGGACATATTATTACAAGAAGACATGGGACATTCTGGGAGAAAGGACCAATCCCATGCTGCATATGTTCATAGTGTTTTTGGTCTTCTTCCTGAGCATTCTTGTGGGAGAGGAGATGCTTTATCCGATTCGGCAGGTGGCACCAAGCACATCCTCCGGCGGCCTTGGGCCTGGCATGTGCCATGGTGTTCCAGTTGTAAAGGAAAGAGGATGAGACACAGCCTGGGACACCGACAAAGCCATTCAGACCGTTTCAGATCGACGTTGGACAGAAGAGGGACCAAAGATAGCCGTAGATAGCCACGCAAAACGCTTGCCCAAGTCGGCCGCTGGATGCTGGTGACCAATGCCACTTGTATGAATATATCATATCATTCCCTCTCCATCCACCAAGAACGCTGAACATCGTTGAACACCTTTCAACAGCTTAAAACGTCTTAGAATAGCTCCCTTGAGGCATTGAGCAGACCATAGCAAACCTGCATGAAAAAACAATCATATTCAAGAACGCAGACCATACTAGTAGCACCCATTAGCAGAATTGAAATTGGAATGAAAAAACAACGAAAACGTATAGAACGCAGACCATGGCACCCATAGCAGACTTGAAATGAAAAACGAAAACTGATAAAACGCAGACCAT